CTCTCTCTCTCTCTCTCTCTCTTTCTCTCTCTATCTCCGCTGTTTCTTTCAGAGTCGCATTCCACCTCTATTCCCTCCTCTTCCCTTAGCATGCCCTCCTACCCGGTCGGTCCTCCAACTCTATCGTTGGCAGAGGCTGCTGTGACCCGAGACGGCGATCAAGCGAGTCGTGGGTCGTGGCTACGCCGTATCTCCTCTCGCGTCTCGCTTCTCTTCTCCCCCCCTCCCCCCCGCTGTTCCCCTTCATCTGGCAAACTGTCTACATTTTTCACCGGCTCGAGATTTTATTTGCCCGCAGTGCCGCGAAATTAAGCCGTTTTGAGATATTTATGAATGAATCGCTGAGGGGGCTCACGCATGGTCGCTCCGGCGGTCGGACAAGGAGAGTTAGGCCGTAGCGCGACATATCTAAACGCGAGGGTTCGCGATTTGCAGGTGCTGTCAAAGCCGGATGCCGCGTTGGCGGCGTCGCGACGCTGCCGCATCGCGAAATCTGTACAACGTCCCCTCGACCTCGCGTGCGGTATTTTTCGGCCGACGAACCGCTACGTGTTGTCATGCGACATTCACTAAACTTTTTCGCGTTCTTGCAATGGATATTCTAGAAGCCAGATAATCTCAGGGCACGGTTTATGTTACGGAATGTTGGAGCGTAATCTTAATCGAACCATTTGACATTTCGAAGCACATTCCAGCGGTGGTGCGTGGCACTATTAATAATCTACAAATCATCGTAAAGATCATAGATTTTCGCTCTCAACGCGCTCTCAATGCTTTAGTTAAAGACAGTGCACACTTTTCAAACTTGAAAATACCTCTGCATTTGCATAGCGGTGACAACATTGGTCGTGTTAATGAATTACTGCGTGCGAAGTAAAAGCATCTGGTAGCACCAAATAAATTATATCCTCAATAGATACCGTGTGAATAATAAAAGACAGATCGGGGACAAAACGCAGACAGATATAAATTTAAGATCTGATAAACATGTTTTATATTTACTTATATTTAATTTCTCTAGTAAAAGATTCAATGGAATATGAATATTTATTAGTCCTTTTTCTTAACACAAAATAAAGAAAATCTTTTCGAACAGCTGTGTGCAAAAAGTGGCATAAATAAAAATAATTTGATTAAATCGAGATACTTTGGCCGAGATTAGCGAGCATAGCCTGACAAACTTCCACAATATCCACGATTGTTCCCCAAGCCCCGAAGCTGCGTGCTAAAGCAGATATTAAACTTGGTATATGACCGTAATTAGACACAGGCCTGTGCCATCCATAAAGGCTACTTGCGCGTCCTATCGTGTCGCTCTTCGGTAGGGTCGCAATGGATCACCGGCAGTTGGATATAATTTATTTGCTTCTGAATCATTTACGGCAAAACGCTAATTAACACTTGGCAAGATTCTAGATAAGCGATATCTAGTTTACGCATCCTATTCATTAATTTGCATCCCTATTATTGTCCTGTGACTCGATTAGATAGAAAGTTGAATACAGTATCTCTTGTACTTTTATATAAAATAAATTACATTACTCAATCGTGTGCGATTTACAATTGCATTATTGTGAAATATTTTTTTATTCAACTTTGAAAATTCCGAACCAGCTTTGTCACGACTCGTATATAACTCGCGGCTTCACTTTGGCGGCTTTATGCCTGCCGAATAAATTTTGGCACACCGGCATTAGTTCTTTCGGTCGAAATTATTGATAATGCCCGCGCCAGCACTTCGCCGATGGGCTATATTTACGGCGAATGGAGTGGGCGCAATCAAGTTCACCCGTCTTCCACGACCAAGACGTGGAGAGCGAGCGGGGCTTCTCCTAGGGTCGGTTGGAGAGGATGCAACGGAGAGTTTTCTGGCTGCTAGGCTTGCTCCCGCGTGATATGCCGCCAGGAGGATGGAATGGTTTCCCCTCTGGTTGCCAAGGTAACCTATGTCCCACCCTTCGGGCTTCGGTAACCACCCCATGGCTGCAGCGGATGTACGTGTGCCAAACTGACGCACACGGCCACGGCTAAAAACCGTGTTGATTCGCACCAACACGAACGCGGCCGGCTCTCCACACGTACGCAAAAAGCGGAATTCGTGAGTGTGGTCGCTGATTCAGGTACACGCGTACACCGACGCGGGCTTGGACCGCACCGGCGAGAACGGCCATGCTGAATTCAATATCAGCATTCTCTGCATTCTCCAAGAGTTTTCTGCTCGGTTCGGAGCGATACGTATTTGATAGGTCATCCTGCATCGGGAATTGCGCACGTGCGTGTCATTCGTGCTCGCCCGATCGCTACGGCACGGCAATCGTTATGACAGAAGATAGAAAATACGGCGCCACTCGCTTAAATCTGTCATAGAAGCCTACTCCTTTGCCGTTCGCTAATCTCGATTCTTTAATATATTATTCTGCGAGGTATATAAGCGAATTAGGTTTACATTGCCCATAACTCGAGTGCATATTGCAACCTGCTAATCGGCCTCATGAATAACGAGAGATAAGCGCTATCTTCTAAAAAAATATCATTGCATTGTAAATTTATTTATTTATGGAAATAAATGTATAGAAAATGTCACAAGCATATGACATGTTTCTTTTCGATTAGACTAGATTCTTTAATGCCTAGAGAAATATTGTCATTTCCTTACAATTTTCTAGTTTTCGATGTGAAATATCTTTCTGATATATTGGTAAAATTTTGACAACACAGAAAAAGAAATCTATCTTGTGTGCGTGCGCGCGCGCGTGTGTGTGTGTGTGTATAAAATACAAAATAAATCTTTATCTGTGATTTGTTATCATCGATGCATCTCTAATTGACTATTAGAAGTACATTTTTTTTCTAACCAATATAATAATTAATTTTCTCACTTTTTCGCGTGTCGATACAATGCTCATACTCTCATAAAATAAGTGGAACGTGGAACGAAAAGTCTTGCTATCTTTTATTGGTCAGTAGCACACATTTGCTTCATCACGAGGCAATAATATGGCCACTCAGCGTCGGTCCGGGAATGATGGTATTATGGCTGTCCACTCTTTGCGCTAAGAAACCGGTTTCTTAGCGATCTTCAGAAGAGACGCGCCTTTCCCGTGGCGACAACTGAAAGTGAAGTTACCTTCGAATTGATTCCGAAAATATCTTGTTTGAAATTCAACAGTGCCGTTATTATATAGCATAAAGAGATCGTTTAAATGCAATTATCAAACTTAAATTTATTTGAATGGCATTAATAAATTATTATTCGATATGATGTTATTGTAAACGCATATCGATCCTCATAAGACAGAAATTGATGATGAAATATTATTTCTGCGGTTTACTTTCAAGTTCCATAATGCTCCAGATATAGATATGATAGATATATGATCACTGTAATATTTTTTATGGATATGCGAAATTTCGCATCGATTTTGTTTAATTATACTCGGTTAATGTTATCGTAGAAACTTTTTCCCGCAGATATATAACTTTCTATTGGGTAAATTTTTCTTACCTGTGCACGGCAGGTACTTCAATTTTATTTTGGCATTTAGATTCTTGCCTGAATAGCATAAAATGTAAGAAATGGCTTGTATTTATATTTCCTGGCGTTAAAGCGTAGAGTAAACAATTAACTTATAGGAAGGGTTTAACTTTTGTGTGAGAAACCTTTCTTAAAAGGTTTAAGAAAATTTAGGACTAACTTTCTAACTTTAGTCACTCTTTTTATCTTTTTTACTTTTAACCTTTTCAATAAAACTCGGGTTTTAAATATGGTTCTCTCTTGCTGAGAGGAAGAAAATCAGCAGATAGTCAATGATAGAATATGGAAAGCATATGACATCATTCATGGGAGTACGGAAAAGTATCTTTGATTAACAGAAAGTAACTGTGCCGCGATTAGCGAGATAGTTTTTCTGACTTTGCGACAAAGAGTTATCAAACACTTATGCGATATTTATGTCTTTCTTTACAGAAATATGGAATATATACATATATATATTATTGAATATAAATTGTACTTTTTATATCATATTTTCTATACTTTTTCATTTATGTTAATATTGAAATAAATATCTAATAAAATATATTTTAACAAATATTTGACACTGACGAAATTTTATAAAATTTACTAACTCATTGGCATATTTTCGTCTTGAAAAAAAAGAGTTATATTTGAAGGGCTTAGAGGCTCTCGAGAAATCTCAGAAATTAGATTTGTTAACATTTTCAGGTCCGAACGGTTGTCCAAGGCGCAGAGGCCGACAGACGTACACGCGGTTCCAAACATTGGAATTAGAAAAAGAGTTTCACTTTAACCATTACCTGACGCGACGACGACGAATAGAGATCGCGCACGCGCTCTGTCTGACGGAACGACAGATCAAGATTTGGTTTCAAAATCGACGAATGAAGCTGAAAAAGGAGTTGAGGGCGGTGAAAGAGATCAACGAGCAAGCCAGACGCGAGCGTGAGGAGCAAGACATGATGAAGAAACAGCAGGCGGAGAAACAGGCCAAGTTGCAGCAGGAGCAGCAGAACGCCGCTCTCCAGCATCAGCAACAACATCACGTAAGCGGCCTGGAAAAGACGCAAAGCGATCTTCTGAAGGCAGTCAGTAAGGTACCAACATAGGATACCTTACTGAGCCGACTCTCTTTCTTTTAAGGAAGACACAAGAGACTGGAGCGGCCTGGATGAAGACGCCGAAGCGAAGTAGTCGGTAAGGTGTTCGGCCACGTAGAAGATCCTGAGTTCACTTCCTCTCATCTTCGCACGCGACGAGACAGGTACGAAAAAAAAAACATGGAAACTGAGGCGAGGGTCTCCGCAATCTTCTTCGAGTCGGTGAGCCGATGGTTGCGCGAGCAGAGGACTTGGCAGCTGCGATCGTCGGTTTTGCATCGAGAGGGAGAAGATAGCGAGATCTGGGAGGCCTGGAAGATATACAGAGCGGTCTTCTCTGGACGGATAAGAAAGGTACGACGAATGCCTTGCTGAATCGGTTCTCTCTTTTGTTTTTTTAAGCAAAAAAAGGTAAAAAGTAATGTAGCTCTTACGATGTAGACAAAAAAATCTCGAGGCATAGAGAATGAACGCACCCCACCCCAACTACGTACTTACTTGGTTGACCCCCGAAAGGCGACACGCGAACGTTCGCACGGGGGCTCAGCCTGTGACTGATTCCTAGAACGTATAATGTATATTGTTAATCGGGTGCTACACAATGAGCCATCGCGATTATCAAGCGATGAACGCATGAATTGGCGCGATACTGCCATGGAGAGCCAATAATTACGTCGAGGCGGTGAGTAGACTAATTAAACGGATCGAAACTGAAAGATTAATGGTCGTATAACCAACCGAATAATGAACGATGACATTACGATTAATTGATCGAGCCTTGAGGGAAGAGAAGGTAGACGAATCAAATTGTACAAGCGAATCGGCGTTCAGTTGCAAGACGATGAAGAAATCAGGGGAGCAAATTAAGGATTTAGCTAATCTTCAATTCATCGCTTACATCGTGAACGTGTGAATTTTGAAGATTTAGCTATATTCTCTCTGTTGTAACATGCATCGTCATTTCGAAGGAAGAAATCCAACGAGACTGTTCAAAAAAACAGAGTCGTTATTTCCGACGCTGAAACGTTCCGCTTCCTTCGTACGACTAGAGAAAATTAGAAAAGGCATAAAATTCGCGATGTCCTCGTTGCGGATTTAGGGTATCTTCAATACCCAATTTGAATACCGGATTAATTGTAAATAACCGATATACACGGCGTTTCCCCCTTTCCGTTTTTCTTCATAAAAGAAATTCAGTATTTGTGGACATTCGCTTTTCAAGTGTGTTAATCAAAAATTTCAATGTTATCAAAGTCGACTGTGTTGAAATTTCTATCACTATAAAATAGTGATCAAGTGGCTAATGATTGATATATTTTCTTTACAAGAAATTATTCGAAATTTTTTGTAAAGCATGATATAAATTTCGTAATAGAAATTTTTTGTAAAGCATAATATAAATTTTGTAATAGAAATTTTTTGTAATATAAGTTTTATATTTAATAAGATTTTTTAAATAAAATGTTCAATGATTACAATGATACAAGAAAGTACGTGATCGGAATTTCTTATAGAACATTTAAATCATTGAACATTTAATTTAGAAAATTTTATTAAATATGAAATTTATTTAAAAAATGAGTGTAATTCCCATAACTGTTTTGTTTAAAATAATCTTTTTTACATGTTTAATTTTGTATGAAAAGGTACTGTTTATACTTTTTAGCTACTGTTTATACTATTTACTTTCGACGTATTATTTTAGCCAAATCATAAAAAACGAGATTTTTGTTTAAAATTTGTTAAAAAAACAATAAATTATTTTGCATTTTACACAGCAAAAATTTATTTTTTTACCAACGTGAATAAAAGTAGTATCCTATCATGAGCAATAAAATATCGTTGCATTCGCGAATTTCACACAATTTAAGAAATGTGAATGTCGCAATGATATCCATGCACTAAAGAACGAGGTAACGCACCATGAGCGAACAACGGATCAGGAATGTATTCTATTGTGTGTTTTTTCTAGACGTGATACTGATGGTAATTAACTGTACAATACATTCATCAACCGAACCTTGCCAAGATTCCAACGAAGAATAATTATCTCGATTATCCTGCCGTGTTAATAAACAAAAGTACACATTTACACATGTACATCTAGGCAATACATACACTTTCTATTTCTATAATGTATTCATCATTATAAAAAAAATTAATTATTGATGTAAATTTTGTGTGAAATATTCTAAATTTCTAACATAATTCGTAACATACTTTCTAACATATTCATAACATTATGTTTTCTTGACTGTTTGGTTACAATTCATTCACAGTTTTCAATTATCTTCCTCAACGTTTCATTGAAAATAACGACACACTTGTAAGTATAAAATTTCGTGAAAATAAGCGCAAAAAAACCAGCGCAAAGAGAGGTAAGCTACACATGGACACATGGACACATGGACACGGCGTACGTACATACGTACGAAACACACAAGCCACATCACCGGATGAGTATCTCGCTCTTAGTACATTAAATACGTAATTTGGTGTCAGGGTAGACCTTTCCATAGATATAGAACCCGTTGTTGGTATTACTTACTTAGAGTTCGTAAAAAAAAGGAAAAGGTAAATGAAAGAAATAACCGAGATATATAAATTATTACCTAATTATTTTTTTCTCCTCCGTGTTAGCGCGATCAATGCATAGATCTTGAGCCTTTATCAGAGAAATCTCGATTAAATTTTATCTGAAGCGCATATATCGTTATTCTTAATTTAATAACTATAAAATCGACAGAAGATAAATATATTGCTGTTTAATGCGTAATGTATTAATCATCCATCGATTTTATAATTATTATAGAAAAGAATAGAGGAATATATTACATTTATCATTCATTAAAGAGATAATATTTTGCAAAATGTAAAGAGATACTGATGTGAAATAAAAATATACGTAACGCGGCAGAATGAGAATTACACCTGTTTCGATTAACGTCAAGATCTATTGCATGGATTGTCTAGTAACTATAATGACGTAAAATCATATTGTACACAATACCATATTATATATTAAAAGTAATAAGTATATTATATATTATATATATATGAACAAAAGAAAAATCTGTTGTGTCGTGCACTGAGGCAGAATTTTTGCCGGCGCGGTAAGAAGATTTTAGGATACGTTTTAAACAAGTACGTAAATTGAGGGGAAAAAGATACCTTGTTAATTTAACTGAGTGAAAGAAGCATAATGAACGGCAGCTCCAAATAGACGTCCGTAATCAAAGCAAGAAGAAAAAAAAGAAGCACGTTTAAACAAATGAAAGGAAGAAAACGTATTCGTATTAGTACTTTACCGCTAATTACCTAAACTAAAAATAATACTATAAATAATATTCCCATACGTAATGTAACGAGTAAGCTGCGCATGTGAGTCCACACACGATATACTCACGTAAATATCTTCTCACATAGCGAAGTACCTACCTACATACCGTAATCGTAATAATGTTTTAACAATGTAATGTGCAAAATGAAAAGGAATGAAGTAGAACATAATATATGCGTGTGTAAGGTTAAACAATTTTGCAGAAATTAGGTTTGAATAAGGAAACGAGAGCACTCGCAGAAATATGGTCGCATTAACACAAGGTCCAGAAGCGCTTGGAAAAACTGATATATTTGTGGAGTTATCATTTTAAATTGCATTATCTCCAATTAGAAAGTTATAGCCAAGTTTAAGGCGCTGTAATGACACATAATACCGATCACATATGATTACATTGGCAGTAAATACTCATAATGACTGTAGAAATTTATGCAGAGCATCAACACCGCGACGTGATACATTTCGGAGTTATTAAAATTAACATTGACAACTAATATTACTAATTAAATTTCTTTAATTCTAAAAGTATATTTCGAAATGTTTCAACTGTTTCATTTATTAAATTTTTATGAATCTACGAGATTTCTATGCAAGATCTCACATTGTATACATATGATTATTAAATTTGTTGCTTTCAAAAAAGATGCTCGCAAGTATAGAAAAACACGCGTGCACATTCTTCAGCAAAATTCAAGATCTAAATATTGTCAATTTTCATATATATGGCTAAAAATATATCTACTATTGCTCATTATGTGTTGGACCATGTTTTATGCTTGTGCTCGGCCTACGCATATAGATATACAAAAAACATTATGGGACAACACAACATAGTCGTATATCGGTTCCACTCCACGTAATCTGTTATCGTGTTAAGAGTACACAACGTAATTATTGTATATTTCGTGGCCGTAGCCCAAGGATCTTTCGGTTATTTTGTCGGAATGTCGAAGAAAAAGTATGATCGCGCTTGAATCTACTCCGGCTCATTGTATACGGAACAAAAATGAAAGAATATCGTGGAATCGAAAAATGAGAGGAACGCTCGTGACGCGATTAGCCCCGAAAATCGGTGTATCTATTTGTAGAAAAGCTTTATAGAAACATGACACACTCTATTTACGAACTATTATAATATTATTATTATCATTATCATCATCATCATTATTTTATTATTATTATTTTGTTTTAGAAATTTGCTCGCGTCAAATGTGCTCTGTAGTTTCCGAATCTACAGGAGCTGCAGGGCATGCGACATTATCCTTATTATTATTATATTATTATTAAAATTGTGAGTTATATTATATCATTATTATTGCTTAGTTATGTTTTGATGTTACAACTACAGACACCGTTAATTATTAAGTGACGCGGCAGCAGCAAGTACTGCGACGATGGCGGCGCCGATACGTCCGACAAATTAGAGATATACGTAATGCGTAATAATAATTAATTATTATTAAACTTAGTCCGAGAAGGTTTGTACAGTACGAGGCGGTGTGAGATTTATGGCGGCCGTGTTAGTTTCTACTTACGATACATTAAGTCTTAACTAGCGAGGCGGCGTATGGGAAATAAAGCGGATGGCATCGACGTACGCGCCGGTTTTTGCGCGCATACGTCAGACGTCGACCAGTGTTGGACTTGAGAAACGGATCGATGATGCGTGACCGCGCTATTTTGTTTAAGGAAAGATTTCAGCAAATTCGTTCGAGCTGTTAATCAATTATCTATATTTAGATCACATCGTTGATCGAGAAATTTTTAAGGGCGCTTTACAATCGCTCGTTTTATATTTTTACAACGGGTATACGAATAACTTAAAAAAAAAAAACAAAACAAACGATCGACTTTTTTGGAAATTGGCGAAACCAATTGGAGAAACACACTGAAAGTATACTATTACAAATTTAATTCGCGATTTCTTATCCGAATCACGCGAACAGAGTCCGCATCCGATGTATCCCGATCAATGAGACCGGTCCCTTCTCGAATCTTTCGCATGGGTCGGAAGAACGTAGAGATATAAGGCGGAAACTTTAGACTAAAAATTATGCGGGCGCCGTCCACATATGAAGCTTTCTCTCGGCTTATCTCTTAAGCTAGCTGCAGCAACTCTATATGGTTATAGAATATTATTCCAAATAACTGACGTAATCATATCATATAACGTTCATAACGCTTCCTCATCCTTTCCCTCTTTCCCTTATTCCTTCGATCTGACCCCTTCTCTTTCCCTCTTCCTCTTCCCTTCCGCTTTTACCTCCGTCATTTACTCGCTCTAATCTTACGATTATCGTAGATGTACTATATCGAATTGATAGTACCGATTAGGTATAGTTACTGAAAAGTTAAAAAAAAAGGAAAACACACAATATGTTAGTAGTACAACATTGCCCGACTTGCCAAACTCGCGTCTTTCTTGAATTTGCGTGGCCGATTTTTCGACGTTGAAGCAAAAATATTTATTGAACAAATCCTCTCCAAAATCCCTAGCCCCAATCCCCGCGCGAGGACTTCTCTTATCCGAATTAAAAAGTATAAAACAAACACTAGAGTGTGTGGCTCAAGCATTGATTTAACAACATAATAACATTTAATGTGCGCGTATGAGTAGCAGGAGTGATTCAGTTTGAGGATAAAAAGGATTGCATGTGCGTTCGAGAATAATGAATAGAATAGTGAGAGAGAAAGAGAGAGAGCGAG